TAAGAGTTTTCTTGTCTTACTGTTAACGTGAAGTTTTTGCAGGATGAGTTCCAGCTTCAACACTCTTCGTCAACTGACATGATGAACGAATGCTAAGATGGTTTGCCTCATCAGCACCCTGATGGGACTCGAACAAGAGCCATTATAGTTCTAAGCAGACACAGGTTCAATTTATAAAGTTACATGTCTTCGATGTAATTAATGTTCATGACTATCAGCACTTCCCGATTGCACTGAAAAACATACGTTTACTTAATCTTTAATCCGACTATAAAACTGTGATTTTGGTGATGTCTCACTTACTCTGAATGTCAATTCATCTGCCCTGTGATCCAATGATACCCTTGGATTTGTAGTTGCTTGGCGAAATCGTCATAATACTCACGAGCCGGTATCGAATCCCGTTGGGAGTCCTAGTGAAGTGGTCTAGTACAGTCAGCCTAGTCATGTGATTATGGGATTACTTACGAATCAGTCCTTAAGTCACCCCAAGTGACACAGACTGACCAATTTATAATGTTAGATCTGCCTACTTACATCGAACCGACATATATTACTCGTGCAAGGCTTTCGAATAGTAACTGTGCAAGACGTCACGTGATTCCACGACAGAAAATTGCCCCAATTACCAATTACAACTCCTGAGTTGCGAAATATAAATCTCAGTAAAATATGACCAGAGCGTCTGGCAGAGCCTTGGCTGCTTTTCGTTCATCTGATGTTAATGCGACGTAAGATTGAAGCTGCAGTAAACCCCGTATTAGATATCCTTTTGTGGGACGAAGCTAATCTGAATTCAATTGTATCAGTAGCCTCAATGAGTAGTATCATAATTGTACATTGTGAGTAATATATTCAATACAACAATTAACAGGCAAAATTAGTTTTTTTTCCAGCTGAATCGCCATATGGTATTATTGTGGATGCTTTCACCTTATATGAAAGTGCATGATAAAGAGACTCATAGTTTGGTTCTTGTTGTACTGCAGCTTTACACAAAGTTCATGTTGGCGCAGTTCACAAAACAGTCTCCCTCATTTTGGGTGAAAAAGGGCCGAGCTTTCGTTCGTCGTATGACGAACTAAATTCTTACAAAAGTCTCAAGGTAAATCAACAAAGCTATCTAAATATGTCCTACATGCAATGTATACTTATAACTAAGTTGTATAAATATAGGTAGATATAGAAAGACTAAGTTAATTCTCTTTCATATGGTACTTTTACTTGGGTGTGTCTGTATGTGTGCGTGCCTGTAAATGCGTGTGTGGCCAATATGAAATGAAACAAGAAAAATATTCTATATACATCTATCTATCTTTATCAATATATTTTCATTGTTTAGTCATAAGTATATACAAAATGTGGGATAGAGCCGGTCATTCTTTTTGTCTAATTGCTTTGATGAACTCCATCATGTGATGGATGAAAGCCTGGCCCGTTTTCACCCGATTCGAGGAAGGATTGCGCAAACCTGAATTATATATTAGAGCCAAACGGCTGCAGGACGGGTCTTTCTACTTTTTACAATTACGTCAGTGTTCTGATGCACTTGTCACCACGGCTGGTCAGATTCGGTGTTTTGGCGAGACTAAAAAATCATTGAATTTATGCGATAAGATCTACTGAAACCAGGCAAATCTGGCATTTTCTCCCACTCGACGTTCCGACTTTTTGGATGCTTCATGCCATCTGGCGAGTCAGGTTTCCCGGTTCGCCAGGGCGGTCTCGTGGCATGACATTGACGATGAGCAGATCTGACCACGTCTGGACAAAAGGCGGGCAGCAGAAGAACCTTCCGAATCAACTCTCTCTCTCTCTCTTTCTCTTTCTTTCTCGCTCTCCCTAATCTGGCCAAGACTGAGACTTGCAGGTATCGCATTAAAGCGTCAATTCATGTCTCATACCATTCGTCCTCAGACTGGCGGACTTAGGGCGTGGTCATCAAAAAAAACAAAATAATAACATCACCTGAAGACAGATGCCTCTCTTGGCACCATCGTCCTCCGACTCAAGGCCTGACACGCATGGAAGGTAGCTTCGACAACCTCAATTTGAACTCAACAGGCAGTTCAGTCAACCTGTATCATATAAAGTGGGCAAATTTGCTCGGCCACCACCACCTCACACAGCCCCCTCTTTCCGATGGAGATTGGTCGAGTGGCCGAGGTGCCCAAGATTTATGTCCTCAATGAGACGACCACATTTTGTGGTCCACCGTCAGGCGCCCAGCCAACTCTAAACGCTTGTATGTACCAAGGCTATCTTTAAATCGGGAATTTTTTCAAATTGTGATTCTTCACTTTTCACGGTCTTTGAGTGTTGGCCCGGTCAAACTGTATCATAGCCTATCCTCTTGGGTACACCCTCTAGCGTCCAAGCCCTCCTCCCCTCCGTAAGCCCGAGATATCCGCAAAGGCTGCACGCAAGCTACATGACAAGATTGTAGACAACGATTCCGATATACAAGGCTTTGGTTACAATTATTTAGGCCTTATAAAGTATTTATTTTTTTGATGTTTACCCATCCAGATGGGCCAAAGACTTATCAGATTTCAAGTCGACATTGTGTGTATGGTCGTAAAAGTGTGTATGTACTTACGTCTCAAGCCATGTCAGGCTCTGGGCGTCCTGCAGTCTGGCCTCGGAAGACGTAAAGCCTCAAAGAGGAATCCTCTTTCAGAGGTTTTGACTGGCAGTCTGGCCAAATCGGAAGCTGCCCTTTAAGGACCCAGGAGGCTCACAGAGTTGTTCAGATCCTCTTCGTTATGAAAAGTCATTCTAGGTCAATATGGGTTTTGTCGCAAAGCTGTTAGGCGACATTTTTGGCCAAAATCCACCTTATGAAAAGACAAGAAAAAGCCCTACAAACAAAACAGAATTGTATGAAAACCGTATGTACTTGGAAGATAGGGAGAGAAACTAGGTTTCAAAGAATTTATTTGTGATACATTGTGACATGACTTTCCATTTCAAAGGAAAAGTTGATTGGAATGAATTCGTGATGTCGTCTCACCGGAAACCGAAGGAGGATTGTTGCTTAAGGAAGACTGTTATATTGTGCGAAGAAATCCTCGAATCACCGCCCTGCGACTCCGATGAACCTGTGCTAAGCTTTCGCCAGTACCATCGTGACACATCAACAGAACAAGAATACATACTTTTCGAAATAGAGCAAGAATATACCAAGCCAAGAGAAAAGGTGTGCGGTTGCAACTCCAATCGTTTTTCTATACACCAAACTTTGCGATCTTAATGAGGCATCCTATAATTTGGATGATTCATCAAGATCGCGCTCTATTTCATGAAGTATAGATTCCTGATCTGATGATGTATCATAGTACAGACGAGAGCTTAATACAATTACATTGGGATCACAGGACGGTGAGCCGAGGAATCGATTTGAGATGCGAAGAGTAAACGTGAAAAAATTGAAGTTTTGGCGGCTTTATTTATCTTTTTAAAGGGAAGTCTTAGTAAAATTAACATTTCTGTCTGCATATCGAAACGATTGGTAGGTTGATTTTAATGAAATACGAGGATTGATTTAGGCCGGACCCATTCGCTCCGGTGAAAACAGGCTGAGATTTTATCAAAGGCTTTTCAGAGAACAGAAATCTTAAAGAAGCCTGACCAACTTCTTCAGACATGTTGCATATTTTCACGAAAGAAACTCAATATATGCATAATTATAATTCAAGTGAGTTGGCAATTTTCTCTTGAAGCTAATCTAATCTTATGAGCACAGATTAGTTCACGATAAATCTCATGTG